ACAGAACGAATGAATTCAAAACAGGATGTTTTTGTAGTTAGTTTTCATCTGTGGACTGGGGGACTGAACAGTAAGTTTTGGAACTTTAACTATGTTTACATGTTACCTCATTATTTCAACTTGATATAGACCCTTTAAAAGCATTATCTTCCAATCACTAAACAAAGAGAAATAAAGTAGGTTATTTTGCTTATTGCTGTTAACACTGTATGTTGCTCCAATGCTACCTTTCCTGCCTAAAGTCTAAATTCTGGAGATTAAGATAATATATCATCACCTACCGACCAAGGCTGTTGTAGTATACTACAGCCCCGTTTCCAAAAAAATGGGGATGCTGTGCAAAACGTAAATATAAACAGAATGCAATGATGTGTAAATTATTTAAGCCCTATATTTAATTGAAAACAGTACAAAGATAATATATCAAATGTTAAAACAAAAATGTATAATTTTTTTAAAAATATATGCCGATTTTAAATTTGATGCCAGCAACATGTTTCAAAAAAGTTGGGACAGGGACATGTTTACCACTGTGTTTCAGTGGTAAACATGTTTGGGAACTGAGGAGACACTGCTGTAGTTTTGAAAGTGAAATGTTTTCCCATTCTTATTTGATATAGGATTTCAGCTGCTCAACAGTTTGGGGTCTCCTTTGTTGTATTTTTCATTTCATAATGTGCCAAACATTTTCAGTGGGTGACAGGTCTGGACTGCAGGCAGGTCAGTATAGCACCTGGACTCTTTTAATAGCAATGCTGTTGTGAAACATGCAGAATGTAGTTTGGCATTGCTGAAGTGAACAGGGCCTTCCCTGAAAAAGACGTTGTCTGGATGGCAGCATATGTTGCTCCAAAATCTGTATATCGTGCAGCATTAATGGTGCCTTCCCAGATTTGCGAGGCACCCATACCACGTGCATTAATGCACCCCTATACCATCATGAATACTGGCTTTTGAACTGTGCACTGATAACAAGCCAGATGGTCTCTACTCTTTAGCTCACAGGATGCAGCGTCCATTATTTCCAAAAAGAAATTCAAATTTTGATTCATCAGACCACAGGACACTCTTCCACTTCGCCTTAGTCCATCTTAAATGACCTCGGGCCCAGAGAAGGCGGCGGTGTTTCTGGATCCTTTTATTTATGATTTCTTCTTTGCATAGTAGAGGTTTGATTCGCATTTGTGGATGCAGTGACAAATTGGGTTCACTGGCAGTGGTTGTCAGAAGTGTTCCTGAGCCCATGCAGTGACTTCCACCACAGAACTGTGTCTGTTTTTAATGCAGTGCTGCCTGAGGGCCTGAAGATCATGGCCAGCCAATATTGGTTTTCGGCCTTGTCCCTTACATACAGAGATTTCTCCAGATTCTCAGAACCATTTAATGATATTATATATGATAGACGATAAAATCTCCAAGTTTTTTGCTATTTTATGTTGAGAAACTTTATTCTTGAGTTGTTGCACTATTTGCTTGTGCAGTCTTTCACAGAGTGGTGAACCCCTCCCCATCTTTAGCTCTGAAAGACGCTGTGTTTATACTCAATACTAACCTGGTGCCAATTAACCTAACTTGGTGAGAGATGTTCCACCATGTGTTTTTTTTTAGCATTACCTAACTTTACCAGTCTTTTGTTGCCTCCTTCCCAACTTTTTTGAAATTTGTTGCTGGTATCAAATTCAAAATGGGCTTATATTAAAAAAAATAAATAAATAAAAAAAAACCAATAAAATTTCTCAGTTTCAACATTTTATATGTTGTCTTTGTACTATTTTCAATTAAATATAGAGTTTATAGTTTATAATAAAATACTAAAAATCTTTAGTATTGAGCAAACTCTGCCTAAAATATAACTACAATTGCAAATTATTTAATCATATCAATTTTTGGTTGTTACGTTGACATTAACATTAAGAGTCGGAAATGCATAATATTCTAAAATGACTGAAAAAGCTGTATAACACTGAGAAGCAAGTTATAATAAAATTGATATCCAACATTCTTTATATTTCTAAAGTGAAGATCGATATCAAAACAAATAAATTGATAAAAATGAACGTAAAATCATAGTTTCTGCATCATTTTATTCATTTGTTGTTTAGAGAATTCTTAAAATATTCTGAAAATATCTAAAAAGCTTTTTGGTGAAAAGTTTGTAATAGTTAAAATCCAATTATATAACACATAAGTTATTGTATATAAAACACCTAAAGCTAATGACTTTGCAGGTGCTTTGTTATTACTGTTTCATCATCCATCTGTCCAGATAGGGAGAATCTGCTCCAATGAGCAGGATAGATCACTGGTTGCTAAATGGTTTGCAGAGCATGAAAACTATGTAAACCATAACCCAGCACCCTCTCAGACAAATCTCAACCAAGTGACAACAGAGCAACCACAGAGATTCTATCACTGTCAACAACAAACAAATCATGGACGTAACTCTTCACATCACCGATATTCCACAAGAGCTCCTTTGGTGATCACTCATGTCCTGGAAAAGACCACTGGGAAATGCTTAAAAACAGTTTTGAATATAGTATGACAGTAAAATAATCTCTGAGAAACCAAATTTTCAAACATGAATCCCTCATGTACTCATGTTTTTACATTATTTCATCAAAATACCTTAACATTTTAAAAAGAAGTGAAACACATGCAGAAGTCAATTAACCTGGAAAGTCTAGAAGAAATTCAGCAAATTAAAATTTAACAATTCCACCTCCAAAATAACCAATAACTCCCCTCAACCCCTGCTTGCACTCTGTACTCGTAAACATTGCTTGACACACCATTCTTGCACTATTCTGAGTGATTTTGCATCATAAAACAGTATCCACGCATATCCGCTGACACATATGGCCGATTAACTAAATAAAACACGTTAATTCCAAACAAAGTCCACCATTTTCTGAGCACAGTAATATTAATATTTACTCAAACACAAAAAAGGTCTAAAATAGGCATCAGACTGTTGACCTTACTTGTAAAGGCATTGTTTAGCAGGTGAATGTAGTCCCTAAGGGCCCTAAAGTATGGGTGCAAAGTTACCATGGCCTGGTTATAATCAGAGATGACCTTACAGGAGCGATAAAGTCTGTGTTTCCTGCCCACGTGAGTGGTGCCTGAGCTAAGGGGACTTTCCCCCCCTTCCAAACACACTCACGGCTGAGGTGGGGTTTCCTACGCTGTACAGCGCACCATGCCGCCACCCTAACAAACAGTCCAGGCATCATCACCTCACAATGTACACAGGCTGCAAATAATGGGGCCATATAGAAGGGTATCTGTGGGGCCCCAAGCTGCTGACACTTCAACTGTGCCCTTGGGGAATGTAAACAACACAATGCTATACAGCTGCTACTGACGATACATCGTACGACACTGATACTGCAAGGGAACGGCCAGTTAGGTCCTTGATAAGATTAACAAAAATGAATATGTATGTTAAAAACACAGAGCATCAGTTGTGACTGGTTATACAACATTGGCATTCCTGTACAGCGGAAATGCTCTGACCCCCTCTGATTTACCTATCGGCCTTATCGGATTTACCTACGAAAGTCTCGGGTCCAACCTCAGCACCTCAGGTTAACACACAAAAACAGACACAGCCATTAATCAAAAGCAACGACCTAAACGGAAATGAAGTTCATTTAAGCTGATTGAAGAGTGGCAAAGACATCAACAGGTTGCCAGTGTTCAGCACAGCTGTGCAACAACAACGCCCTCAACTGTTAAACAAGCGACAGTACAGCATGGACCATCTTTCAGTGAGCTGATATGCTAGCATTAAGCCTTTTATAGTCCATATGCTGCTTTATGTTTATTAAATGCATTACTGCCAAGCAGTTTTTCAATCTACTTCTGTTTTCCATATGGAAAAATAATATTATATATGCACATATATCGTTCCGACATATTATATATATATATATATATATATATATATATATATATATATATATATATATATATATATATAAAATACTTTTAAATATATTCAGAATATATGGAACATGTATATATGTCTGATATTTGGGTGAACACTTCTGTTACGCAGATCATACACATATATATGATTCATACACCGAAAGGCTTTTTTCAAAAACTGCAAATGAAAAACACCAGCAACATACATGCAATAAAAAACATTGTGTCACATAACATGAAGCTGGCATATATAAGCAATATATCGCTGCGGTCGGAAGAAAACCTCGTATCTCTATTTTTGTTGTTTTTCAGTTTTTGACATAATTTGTAAATGTCTGTTGTCCTTTGCATTGTGTGTAAATTCTATGAAGAATCGACGAAAGGAAACAGGCCAAAATGACTTGGAAAAAAGTCTGCTTCCATTGACTTACAGTAAAAGTAAAATATGTTTTTCCTTCTCCTGTAAAGTTAACATTTTGGAGAGGTTTTCTTCTGACAACAGCGATATGCCATCCATATATAATACATGATTTCTATCATAGATCACTAAATAGCTATATGTGTTACACATATATGTTTATATATGGTGATATTTGACTGAAATATATTCTCCATATTTGAAAATGAGGTGGGATACATAACAATATATGTCCATAGGTAAGTAATATAAGTTGGATACAAGGGAAATCCATATATGCTAATATATCTCACATATATATATTGATATTGTCATTTTGCTACATTGTTTGTTTATTTATTTACACATTTAATGTGGGTGACCCAAAATGAAAACATACAAACCAGTCAACACTCTAACAGAAAGCTCATATTTGAGCTAAGCCACCTGGGCAGCAAAGGCCTAAACAAGCCAAACCCACTTAATAAACACCTTCAGACATTCGCAGGTATGAAGGATTATATTACACAAATGAGCAAAATGAGGTTGTATTGGTCTTCAGAGCTAATTTCAACTTATATTGCCTCCGGGAAAAATAGTACAGTAAAAAAAAAACCTACAGTGGCTTTGGAACTACATTTCCCATAATCCTGCAGTCCACAACAGACCAGGGCTGAGAAAAAGGCTGTGGATTCCACTCATTCAGGCGTCAAGAGAGACAGAGCAGAAAACACGGGCGTGTTTTCCCAGTAACACATAAATGGAGGTACGAGCTTAGGCAGCAGGCGAAGGACTTTTTAAAGATGGTGAAAGACCAAGAAGTGGAGCGCATCGCGAAGAAGCTGGACAAAATGGTGCACAAGAAAAACACGGTAAGTGAAAGAAGGCTGGCTGGCTGGCCGGGCGGCCGGCCGTCCGTGGAGCGCCGAGAGTCGGTCCAGCGTCGGAAAGCAGGTAGGCACAGACTGCGCTTATGTGTGCTGCACTTTTAGTTACGGAGGAAATTTCTGGAAACCTGTGCTGGTGTTAAGAGTAAATCAGCATTTTGAACGGCACGGAAAATGTCATCCGCCAGCCAAGCTCGCCTCCCTCGCTCATTTCTAACGTAACGTTAGCTTTCGATTTCCATTTCGAATGAACGCCGCCGAGCTGTTTTCAGACCGTGAACTCCAGAGGTTAGACTAGATATGTGAACCGCATTTACTTTGAAAAAAATACCCCGACTTCGTCTCGTTGCTGCCAGGTTAGCTAACGGAGACATTCGGCGGTTTACAGAAGAGGCGTGTACGTTAGGCGGTTAGCAGCGGTGGTGTTAGCTTCTGTTTAACTTGCTGCCTAAGGTGCCGGAGTTTAACCGAGGGCGGTGAAGGTGTTAACTAACCCGCCAGCTCGCCCATTTGCCAGAGTGAGGCTATGAAAGGAGGTTGTTGTAGTGCAGTTAACGTTATATTACTCACCACCAGCCTTGTTTAGCCCCAAAAACGCCTCCCTCACTGCCGAACTCGCCGAACAAACGGCTTTCGGCTGAGTTTGTTTTCGTGCCGCTGTAGCTGATGAGCTGGCGAACTGGTCCTTCTCCAGTTTTCTCCCGAGCTCGGTTGCAGGGTCACACCAAAAACTTCATTTGCCCCCTGCTTTACCGCAGAAAGGCCACGGTTCAGCTCAAATAAGTGATAAACCGACCTATTTTGTGATGAGAGTGCTTGGTGTACACAGATGAACTAAAAACTATGGCTGCGTCCTAAACCGCATAGTGCTATATACTACGCATACTACGTTGCTGAAGACTAGTTACTATTTTTTTGCATGCTATTCAGTGTGGTAGTGTGTGGTTTTGGACGCAGCCCGTCTGTGAGTAAGAAACATACTCCTGTTCCAGAAATGCAGAAATGGCGGCTAGATAAACAAAAAAAAAGTATTCCTGTCCAAATCTAAAGTTCAGAAGACATGCAGAGAGTCTAATGTCCCTTTTGGTAACACCCTCTTCCTCTTTTCTTGTTGTTTTAATTTTAGGATGGCGCCATAGACTTGCTGAAGGAACTGAAGAACATGAAAATGTCCCTGGAGACCCTACAGGTAGTTCATTTCCCTTCAAAGTAGAAGCCTTGGGGAGTTTTTCGTTATAAATGGTTCCTCCCTTTTGGCCTCTTTTCTTTTAAGGGGGTGAAAATATTCTATTTTTTATTTATTTTATTTGTTGGCTGCTTTTTATACTCTGTCTGGTGATTTAATCAGAGTTATGAGATTTTATTCAGCTTTGGTTGCCTATCAATAATTGGTATAGAGAGGAGGTTGCGGATGCACTCCCAATAATGCTGAGAGATTCAGCATTTTTAATTGTGGAGGTTAGTGCTTGTGTTCAGATTCACTGGTTAATTAAACCAACATTAAAATGGACTGAATACATAAATGATTATTCAGTTATAATGCAGGCCACATTCAAGCAGTGTAGTCCTTAACGGAGTCACATGATTGACACGTCACATGAAGCATTTCTGGAAGATGGCAGTTTGAGGCTAAACAAATTGAGTTTTTACATTTTGGCACAAAAAATCTGCACTTTAATCAGAGTTATGAGATTTTATTCAGCTTTGGTTCCCTAACAATTGCCTACTGTATGTTTGTAGAGAAATTCTCTGCAGAATTTTTCATGCATCATAATCTTTGAACCCTCTGAGGGTTTGCATGTGACTTGCTTTACCTTTCTCTTGGTTTCTGTGACCTCTGGGCTTTTGTAATTCTCACTTGTCATTTTGCTTTATCCAGTGAATTACAACCACATTTCCAAAAAAGCTGGGACGCTGTGCAAAATGTAAATAAAAACAAATGCAATGATGTGCAAATCATTTAAACACTATATTTCTTTAAAAATAGTACATAGACAACATATCAAATGTTAAAACTGAGAAATGTTATTGTTTTTGGAAAAAAATATGCTCATTTTGAATTTGACACCAACAACACGTTCCAAAAAAGTTGAGACGGGGGCAACAAAAGGCTGGTGAAGTGGTGCAATGCTAAAAAAAAACACCTGGTGGTTGATTGGCAACAGATCAGTAACATGATTGAGTATAAAAGAGCATCCCACTCTGTGAAAGTGCAAGAATTCAAGAATAATGTTTCTCAATGTAAAATAGCAAAGAACTTTTGCTTTCCATCATCTACAGTACATAATATCATTAAAAGATTCAGAGAATCTGGAGAAATCTCTATATGCAAGGCCAAAAACCAGTATTTGCTGGCTGTGATCTTTGGGCCCTCAGGCAGCACTGCATTAAAAACAGACATGATTCTGTAGACGAAAACACTGCATGGGCTCAAACACTTCTGAAAACCGCTGTCTGTGAAAACAGTTAGTCGGTGCATCCATAGATGCAAGTTAAAACTCTAAAATGCGAAGAAGAAATCATATATAAACAGGATCCAGAAACGCTGCCACCTTCTCTGGGCCCAAGCCCATTTAAAATGGACTGAGGTGAAGTGGAGAATTGTCCTGTGGTCCGATGAATCAACATTAGAAATTTTTTTTTGGAAATCATGACCACTTGTTATAAGTACACAGTTCAAAAGCCAGTATTCATGATGGTATAGGGGGGCATTAGTGCACATGGCATGGGTGATGTGCTCATCTGTGAAGGCACCATTAATGCTGAATGATATGTACATGTTTGGCAACACGTGCTGCCATCCAGACAACGTCTTTTTCAGGGAAGGCCTTGATTATTTCAGCGAGACAATGTTAAACCACATTCTGCATGTATTACAACAGCATGGCTCCATATTAAAAGACTCCGGGTGCTGAACTGGCCTGCCTGCAATCCAGACCTGTCACCACTGAAAACTTGGCACATTATGAAATGAAAAGTATGACAAAGGAGACCCCGAACTTTTGAGCAGCTTAAATCCTATATAAAGTAAGAAAGGGAAAACATTTCACCTTCAAAACTACAGCAGACGGTCTCCTCAGTTCCCAAACATTTAAAGAGTGCTGTTAAAAGAGGAGGTGATGAAACAGTGGTAAACATGCCCCTGTCCCAACTTTTTTTTGGAACGTGTTGTTAGCATCAAATTCAAAATGGGCATATATTAAAAAAAAAAACAAAAAACAGTAAAATTTCTTAGTTTCAACATTTGATATGTTGTTTTTGTAGTAATAGTCTTTAAAAGTATGGTTTACATGATTTGCATATCATCGCATCCTATTTTTATTTACATTTTGCACAGCGTCCCAAATCTTTGGAATCGGGGTTGTAAATGCTGGCAGAATTTAGGGGTTAGAAAAGCTCAAAGTAGATGAAAAAATGCTTAAAGTCCATGAAAATTCTGTTCTCTGCTCTGTGGAATCAGTAGTGATGTAGTAATGTAGTGATCTTAGTGATTTTGTGACTAGAAGGACACTGATAGAGGGCCCAGTACTGAGCCCTGCAGTACATCCTTTGACAAACATCAAGCAGAGTCTAAATCAAATCCAGTCTTTTTTTTTTTTCTACAGAGGTTAATGTCAGTCTACGTCCAATGCCTAATCCAGCTCATCAATAGACATGTCTGGAAGCTTAGGACGCAGCTGAGGTAGACTGCATTTCTCTGCCGTTAAGTAACAGAAGGCCGTCGTATTTTGTATGATCCTTGAAATGTATCTGAGAAATGCACCCTTCGTTTCTGAGAATTTGAAGGAATCAGCTTGTGTATTCTTCGAGACCTTCAGTCGTCCACTATCCTTCATGCACACTGCAGAAATATTTGAGAAATGGCCACAGCAGCTGTAAGTGGTGACATGATATGGTTTGCCTCAGGGGTGGGCAGTGTGATGTAATTCATCACGATAATGATAAAATGTCACAGTATACCTTCCTAAGCATATTGTGGACATTTACTAAACAACACTATCTACTATCTAATTATCATAATTTGGCCTGTGCAGTGCAGTTTGTAAAACATTGACCACTATTGTAGTAGTTGGTGTTTTAATATTATTATTATTATTATTATTATTATTATTAGTAGTAGTAGTAGTAGTAGTAGAAGTAGTATTTTCATAATTTGCACTACAGGTTCTGTTTTGCCTTTTCCATCTTATTAAAATATCAGTAAAACGAAATATCGTGATACATATCATATATTGTGAAAATATTATGATGTATTATTTGTTGCCATATCGCCCACCCCCAGTTCACCCCAATGTAAACTTTTTTTTCCCTTCAATTTGATGTCTTATTGTTTTTGTCAGCAAGCCTTGATGTGTCTGCACAGCCTGTTAAGGCCGTCTTGATTGTGCATGACCAAAAAGTGAAAAGGACCCTTTAGATAATAGAGCAAGCAAGATCTCGCCGACCTCTGCTGCAGCTCTAGCAGCTATGCTCCAAAAGCTTGGCTGCAGCTAAAATGAGGTCGGTTCTCTGTAGGACTGTCTTAAGAAGGCTCCTTGTTTGTGTTAGATAATGTGAAACAAAACATTTTACCAAGGCTGTTCATGAAGGAGCTGGTGCAGAAAATTTGATGATGAAAATACTGTTAATATGAATGATAAGATAATAAGTTCAACTTGGATATGAATGATGTAATACATGGCAGGCTGGACCATTTGTTTGTACTTAAATGAATTTACAGCCACAACTAAAGAAATAGTGAACTGCATTTTTTTTTCAAACAATGTACAGTAGTGTGGTTTGACCTGTTGACATTTCTCTTGACCTTTCATGGGGTCAAGACACATACACAAAGGATTATTAGTGACAGAAAGGCTACTCTGGTATCGTTCTCAAAAATAATCAGAATTTAGGCTGCGTTTCTCCGACATATTTGAAGGACTGGAACAGCCTTGGTTGACGTAGCGGTCTTGAAATGCAGCCCACCTGGACAACAGCCGAGTTTTTGGAACGTAGCTAGTGTTTTCTGGAGACCCTGATTAGCTGGATTAGGTAGGTTTGGGTTGGATCACTGCTGGAAAGGTCTGGATGCTATGTGGCAATTCAGTCACTGGGATTCTGACACAGTTATGGAGTCAGTATAAATATAAAAAGTAATATTTTTCACTGATTAGGCCACAACAGGCTTTGCATCCACACCTGATTTTCAGCCTGCTAGAGTGGATCGTAATCTGACAGCACAAAAAAACACCATATATATCTATATATACACTGATCAGGCATAACATTATGACCACCTCCTTGTTTCTACGCTCATTGTCCATTTTATCAGCTCCACTTACTATATAGGTGCACTTTGTAGTTCTACAGTTACAGACTGTAGTCCATCTGTTTCTCTGCATACTTTGTTAGCCCCCTTTTACCCTGTTCTTCAGTGGTCAGGACCCTCATGGACCCTCACAGAGCAGGTACTGTTTGGGTGGTGGATCATTCTCAGCACTGCAGTAACACTGACGTGGTGGTGGTGTGTTAGTGTGTGTTGCACTGGTCTGAGTGGATCAGACACAGCAGTGCTGCTGGAGTTTTTAAACACCTCAGTGTCACTGCTGGACTGAGAATGGTCCATCAACCAAAAATATCCAGCCAACAGTGTCCTGTGACCACTGATGAAGGACTAGAGGATGACCAACATAAACTGTGCAGCAGCAGATGAGCTATCGTCTCTGACTTTACATCTACAAGGTGGACTGACAAGGTAGGAGTGTCTAATAGAGTGGACAGTGAGTGGACATAGTGTTTAAAAACTCCAGCAGCACTGCTGTGTCTGATCCACTCGTACCAGCACAACACACACTAACACACCACCACCACGTCAGTGTTACTGCAGTGCTGAGAATGATCCACCACCCAAATAGTACCTGCTCTGTGAGGGTCCACGGGGGTCCTGACCACACACACATGACCCCAACGCACACTTGGATGCACATAACACATTGCATTGTTTAGAGTGCAGTATACTGTTTACAACCCACCCTTTCACAGGGAAAACAATGACCCTTTTGTCTGTGATTAATCCAACTCGGTAGCAACTTTTGAGGTTAAAAAAATAGGTTTGGCCAACATTTAGTACAATTTTAGCTCAGAGGGAGCTTTTTGAAAAGTAATCTAATCCTTAAAGTTAGAATTTAATCTAATCCAAATGCTAAAATCAAATCGCTTGTTTAATCAGATCTAAAAGCCAAAATTGGATTTCTTTTACAGCTGCAGGTGCTGAAACATATTAGATAATAGGTTTAGTGTTGTGGTAATTTACGAGTTTATTCACGTCAGCCTTGGATATGAGAGTGTTTTGGGGAAGCTTTTGGAGTTGTTGACCTTGGAGTTCAAAAGGGTTCAGAATCCTCGGCTGTGAGCGCAGAAGGAGGCTGTGGTAATGATGGAAGTGAAGAGAGATGAGGGGTTACTCACAGAGAGATGAGGGGTTTCTCTTGATTTCTGCCTCATTAAAAAGATAATGCAAGCACTCAAACTGTTGTTACTGTTACGCTGTAATCAGCAAGATACTGTTCTTTGAAGTGTTTGTAGATTTGGTGCTTTCATTTACAGATCATGTTTCACTCTTTGTTTCACTTCTTCTGTTCTTTTGTTATCTGTCTCGTCCAATGTGCTTCAGTCCACACGGATTGGCATGTCCGTGAACGCTGTGAGGAAGCAGAGCTCGGATGAGGAGGTGCAGTCTCTGGCCAAGTCCCTCATCAAGGCCTGGAAGAAACTGCTAGGTACAGTTTTATGTTATTAACTGTCAAAGCAGCAGTTTAACAAATTTTCTGCGTAAATCGTTAGGATGTAAACAAAGGTTTCCCAAGAGCTCCCTGACAAAGTTAATTAATTAATGACAAAGTTAATTAATTAATGACAATGCGTTATCATGCACTCAATAATCTGCTGACTGCAGAAAATAAGGTTCTGTCAGTAATCGGATCAACGCATTTATGTGCACTTGAGTAAATGAGTCAGACAGTAATCAGATTTCTGTTTTGCAACCAGCCAGTAAACTCACAGAAGACGACGTGACATAAATGTAACGTAAAACTCAAAACTTCATGCCGCAGCTTTTTTTTTTTTTTAATATTGCACCACTTTACCTGAAAAAAATGGACATACATCATCTAGAAGATGAAGAATATTTAAGTTTTTCATTTCCTCAAGCATGTAGTTGGTTTCAGCGCCGCTCCAACGCTGCTCGCTTATTTCCGGTACAGCAGTCTGTTCCGCACATGCGCAGACTGAGAAGTCCAAAAGAAATCAGAGTTTACAGCACTGAGAAATCTGATTATTGAGCTAAAATCCAGCTCTTTTTATCAGATTTCTTAATCAGATTTTTTAGATCCGATTATGATGTTTACATGACCATTTGTATAATCGGATAACTGCAGAAATCTGAGTATGACTGGAATATTGAGCGCATGTAAATGCACTCGGTGTTTTCTAAAAGGTTTTGACCTGAAACGCATTTTTAAACTACATGTAAACGTTCTATTAATTGCTGTAAATACAGACGAATCAGGTGCTGGATGACTACATCACCTGTGGCTGTCAGCATAAATAAGAGTGTAGAGTAGAAGCAGCTAATGGTCCAAGCGGAGCCATATAGACATTGTGTAGTGGAAGATTTGAACTTTCATTCTTCTCCTTCGTAGATGGTTCTGAAGGCAAGTCTGAGGAGAAGAAAAAGGGAGGACCTTCACTTCAGTCAACATCATCTAAAGACAGTCCTGGATCCAGTGACTTCAGGTGTGTATCTGTGTGTGCTAGTGGTGAACATACAGTGATAGGATACCTATGACTGATACCACGAAGTAGTTTCTGAAGCACATGAACGAAACACTGACTATGTGGGCTGGCCAGCAGCAGTAAAAATGATTTAGGCAAAATCTCTAACACTAGTATTTTGTGGGAAGGCAATGGTAGTAGATGACAGACCAGTAAGAATTCTTCCTAAGGTATTCGTTTCTTCGGTACCCTGACGTGCAGACATGTAAGCGCATATATGAGACAAATGACTTGAGAAATTTAGAAACAACTTCCAACTTAGCGATCACTTCCAGCATCGCATGTAATGCAGTCAGTTACATGTATGTCAATGTATGTGGCGGATTTTTTTTGGATCAGATTGTTTCGTCCTAACGGGAGTTACAACAGAATATTCAGGGCCTCTTTCAAGTGAATCTGTGTGTGTGTGTGTGTGTGTATATATATATATATATATATATATATATATATATATATATATTTACACACACACACACTCTATTAGACACTCCTACCTTGTCAGTCCACCTTGTAGATGTAAAGTCAGAGACGATAGCTCATCTGCTGCTGCACAGTTTGTGTTGGTCATCCTCTAGTCCTTCATCAGTGGTCACAGGACGCTGCCCACAGGACGCTGTTGGCTGGATAGGTTTGGTTGGTGGACTATTCTCAGTCCAGCAGTGACACTGAGGTGTTTAAAAACTCCAGCAGCACTGCTGTGTCTGATCCACTCAGACCAGCACAACACACACTAACACACCACCACCACGTCAGTGTTACTGCAGTGCTGAGAATGATCCACCACCCAAATAGTACCTGCTCTGTGAGGGTCCATGGGGGTCCTGACCACTAAAGAACAGGGTAAAAGGGGGCTAACAAAGTATCAGAGAAACAGATGGACTACAGTCTGTAACTGTAGAACTACAAAGTGCACCTATGTAGTAAGTGGAGCTGATAAAATGGCCAATGAGCATAGAAACAAGGAGGTGGTCATAATGTTATGCATGATTGGTGTATATGCATGTGTATGTATATAGGAAGGGGCGGGTCTACTGCCAACAGAGAATTTAGAGGGAAAAGCCATCCCACAGATATAGCATTTTATTTTTATTGGCGATTCAGAACTTGGATTAATACCAAAAAGAGACACGTTTTGTGAAGTTGACTTCACTTTCAATTTTTTTTTCAGTATAGCTTTTGAACAGTGAGCAAAAAAAGTTAGTATGTGGAAAATTATCATCTGTTTTTAAACGAGACAGTCATCTACCATTTTGTTTTGGCAGAAATTGATTTTGTTCATTTCTGTGGATTGTGGTAACTACTGTGAGAGCTTAGTGACCATCTGCAAATTGCATCTTAAGTAGTGGTCATCGGTGTCCAAGCATGATGCTTCATTTTGGTGTCAGTAGGGTCTTAAAAGATGACGTCTGCCAAATTTCATACAACAGATTTTTAGCAGAAATACATGGAAAACAGTAAAATGTTTGGACGCGACTTCTTTTTGCATAGTCGTAGAACACATGAATTCAATAATTCCACAGCAATTGCCCTGTAATTTTAACCTCATGTCAAAATCTCTAAATTCCTTCTTAGTAACGATGCTGCTGGCGCCGCTACAGGGGATTGGTTTCTGAACATGTTGTATTTTCCACTGCTTATTATGATTTTTTTATGTCTGATTAGACAATCACTATAATTTCTCCTCTTATTGCAGTAAGAAACCAGAAACACCAAAGACTCCCACCACTCCCACCACTCCTACAACCCCCAAGTTCACTTCCTTTCCCCCTCCACCGGTCACCACTGACAGCGTGCGAAACAAATGCAGAGAGCTGCTGGTCTCGGCCCTGCAGACGGATGGTAAGTCCAGGCCAACTTGGTATAGAGTAGTCAAGCTTGTAATGCCCTCGGAATCGGGTCAAAAATAAATGTGTTTTTGTGTGTGTGTGTGTGTGTGTGTGTGTGTGTGTGTGTGTGTGCAAAAAAATATTTGAATGTTAAATAAAATAAATTACTTGCTGAGATGATGTAGCATGCCCCTTTTGACGTTCGGTGTCCTTGAAAGCCACAAGGCTGAAGTAGGGCTGGGCGATAAAACGATAACGATAATTATTGCAATATAACTTTCCTCGATAGAAATATAAGAAATGTTTGATAAATGTTTGATATAATAGAGCATTCTCACACTTCCATGTTCCAGAGACAGCCCTGGTGGCGTTTTCTACTGCAAGAAAGCGACACTACTCTGTTGTCGCCACAAGAGGGCGTACTTCAGAGTTTTTCAGCATGATTTTTTTGGGGGGGGGCGTGCAAGGAGTGAAATGATTCGCCAATGTCTGAAACGTGGAGATATATATTAGCTCTTAGAGTGGAGCGATCGGCGATCTGTTCTCCTGTGACTCAGTGTAAGTGATGAGGTCAGTGGCGTAACTATACTGTCCTACAGTAGTGAACTCACCCCTTTCTTAGCATCCGAATGAACTTTAGCAGCATTAAATCACGTCTGCTCCTCACAACTACAGCACTGTTACAGCGCTCAGTCATATTTTAGTATTAGTGCATTCCCAAGCAACAAAAGTGAAAGAGTGCACTGCACTGATTTAAACGAAAGTAAACTGAGGACGCTGTGAGGCACTGGAGAGTGGGAGAACGCTAGCTTTCTAGGCTAGCTGTTTTAGCAGCTGGCTAACTTGAAGCAGCTCTGTCACTCGCACAGCACGGCCGAATTAATGTTGCTGTAGATCAAACAAGACACCGATTTCAGTTTAGACGTACCTAAAAAAGACTCTCTTTGTTGGGTGTTAGAGATCCACACTGCATTTAATGCTTTTACACAGTGAGTGTCAGATATACTGCAGTTCACCCCTCAAACTACTACGATAGAATAGAGAAACCCAGGCGTCGCTAGCTGGTGTCTGAATACTGTGATATGCTCTGACATGGATGTGGTGGGAGTGACGACAGTAAGGCGGTGTGATCCATCACTGACGTACCGAGCCAGATAATGTTTGCTGTTCTTATTAAGCTGACGTTGTTGAGAAACGAAACAGTTTGGCGCTTGTAACCAGATAGCCGAGCGCTCGTCACCAGACAGCTAAAAATAATTTGTTTTCTTTTTAAATTATGAAGATTACAGAAATTGCGGCCGTGCTTTTCCAGCTGGCAAAAACAGCTGACCCGAAACTCCCACTGTCCCATGACAGATTTGTGAAATGTTCCAATGTTTGCCAAATGTTTGTCATGTTCTGACCATAAAGGATAGTTTAAAACAGCAACTGACCACTCAGGAGCAAAAATCAGCCTTCAAACTTGAAAGAAAATGATTTGACATTTATTGCAATATGTATCGATATTGACTGAAATACATTTTTTATTCTGATAACATTTTTGGGCAGCAACAGGTTTTATTTTGTACTGGAGATAGGTTGTTTTGAAAAAAGCTTGGCAGATTATCATAGTAGACCACTACAAAACGCCTGGAATGCAGTATTAGGTAAAGCTAATAGATTCTAGGCTAATAAAGACACGATCAATTACTGCGTGGACTGCTGATCTAGTCTAGGCAAACATTACTAACAGCTTTCACTTTAAGAATCTCTGAGTTGTATTTTAAACCTTTGACAGAAGTTGGCAGCATCATCTTTGGTTTCACTGCTGTCTCTCAAGTGGCAGCTTCTTTTTTATGTTTTCACAGATGATTTCAAAACAATTGGAGCAGATTGCGAGGCCTTGGCGGCAGAGATTGAAGACTATATCCTTCTATTTCTCTTGGAGAGCGAGAGCCGCTCTCTTCTGAGCCAAGTGATCATCTGCTGGTGCTCCATTCCTTACCTTGACCTCTGTAAAGTGATGTTTTAAGGTGTCTATACCAATCCAGGGCTTCCTTAACTGACATGTTACGTATCTACAAGGAGTTTAAGGCCACCGACATGAAGTACAAAACAAGGCTGAGGAGCCGCATCTCCAACCTTAAAGACCAGAAGAACCCTGACTTGCGCCGCAACGTGCTGTGTGGCAACATCTCCCCTGAACGCATAGCCACCATGACAGCAGAGGTGCGTATGTGTGTAATACCATCACAGTACAATAATGGCTATAAAGCAGGGGTTCCCAGCCTTTTGCAGTTCACAGCCCACACGACCAGCTGAGAAGGCTTTTGTGGCCAACAAGAAGATTTAACTGGCCTGTTTTTTTTTGTTTTTTTTTTCCAAGTTTTTTAAAGTTTAACGTTTTAAAAAATGAATAAATATCAGCAGCACCCCTGGCAGTACTAATACAGCCCACTGGGGGGCCACCGCCCACAGAGTGAAAATTACTGCTACAAAGCATATTATTCTTGTCTGCATGTGAGCTTTGCTTATGCGGGCTTGTCTATCCAGTGGTGCTCCCATTGTCATGTTTTTCATGATAGTCCCTCATTAAGTCGGTGTGTGTGTGTGTGTGTGTGTGTGTGTGTGTGTGTTGTAGGAGATGGCGAGTGCAGAGCTGAAGGAGATGAGGAAGGCTCTGACTAAAGAATCTATCCGGGAACACCAGCTCTCTAAAGTGGGCGGCACTGAGACCGACATGTTCATCTGTGGGAAGTGCAAGGGCAAGAGCTGCACCTACACCCAGGTACGTCCACACTGACCATCGTACTTGATCAGCTAAGACGTGTTTGGTATCCAAAAGTTCCCTCTTTAGTTTTTGTACTGGAGCTGTGATGCGAGTGTAGTGAACAAGTAATGGAAGCTTATATTCCACCATTCTACAAACCGCACACCTAAAACATCACAATCCTCATCGAGGGTTGATCTGTTAGGTAATGTGAAGTAGATGTGATTTCTGACAAGCTAAACAGGGAGAAGATACTGTTTTGTAGCTACAGTGTGGGATGCAGTGTCAGAAACCACAAGTCTGTTTTACTATTACTGAACAATTTACATATTAGTTATATTAGCCTTGTAGGGGTGGTTAAGTCAGTCATGGTCATGAAATTGTAGCTGATGATTTGTCATGTTTATAATTGCAGTTAACAATTTTGTCTTTGTGATGATGTAAAGTACCTCTTTACACATCACAATATAATGACTGACTGTAAACACTTACCTGTACTTACCTGAAGACTGATTATCCTTGCTTTGGGGAGCAAAGAGAACTGAATGGGTTCACCTGTGATTTACTTACCTGGGTGAGTCCATCCTCTGTAGAGGAGGAGGGAAGGAGAAAAACTACAAGAGTAAATTGGTTAAGAAGTGTACACCGTGCTGGAAATATGTTTTAATGACGTCATGAATATAAAGGTGATTAGTAAGGAAGCACATGGATTATTTACTGTCGCATGTAAATATATATTTAGATATATGAAGCACTTGTTTTTAACCCAGGCCTGTAATGGTATATCCTAGGGGAGGAGCACCCCAAATATAAGCAGCATTACTGGGGGGTAGAGAAAAAAATCCCTTCTTTCAGCTGGGTGGATGATCGAAGGTGATGCGAGTGAGTCCTATATGACTTTGCAGTCATTGGTCTGTTTCATAGTTGTAGAGACTATTTTCGTTTTGTTTTCGTTTGTTATGTGTGCGCGTGTAAATATGTAAATAATCCTGAGTGTTGGTGTGTAAATAAAGGTGACGGGGAGAAGAACTCTTGAACCAGCCGTATTCATTCCAGTTACTTGGACCGCTTGCCCGACGCTACCCATAAGGTGTGTCCCCTGCCACAGCATACTGCCGGGTCGAGGGACGCACTTAATCACAGTCTTTTTTTTTAATCATTTTGTGCATCTATTAATAAGCTATATTACTCAGCGCTGCCCTTAAATATATAAGAGCACTAAGTTAGAACTTTTTCATAAGTCCCATGTAGGGCTGGGCGATAAAACGATAACGATAATTATCGCGATGTAACTTTTCGTCGATAGAGCGATACGACATGTTCGATAAATGTTCGTTATAATACACCATTCTCACACTTCCACGTTTTAGCGAAAGCCTTCGTGGCGTTTTCTACTGCAAGGAAAGCGACACTACTCTGCTGTCGCCAGGAGAGGGCGCACTTCCGAGTTTTTCGACATGATTAGTGAGGGAGGGGGTCACGAGTAAGATGAGTCTTTAGCAACGGCTGAAACGCGGAGTTATACATTCCCAGTTTGAGTGGAGCGACCGGCGATCTGTTCTCCTGTGACCGAGTGTGAGTGACGAGGTCAGTGGTGTAACTGTACTGTCCTACAGCGAACTCACCTCTTTCTGTACATCCTAACCAGCTTTAGCAGCGTTAAATCACAATCACAATCCTCACAACTACAGCGCTGTTGCAGAGCTCGGACAGTCATATTTTAGTATTAGTGCATTCCCAAGCAACAAAAGTGAAAGAAAGAAGTGAGTTCATGTAAATTACAGGTTCGATTTATACGAAAGTAAACTGAGGAAGCTGTGAGGCGTTGGAGAGCGGGAGAGTGCTATCTTTCCAGGCTAGCTGTTTTTAGCAGCTGGCTAACTTGAAGCAGCGCTCTGTCACTCACACAACACGGCGAATTGATGATAATGTAGATCAAACAAGACACAAAAGCACCGCTTTCAGTTTAAACGTACCTAAAAAGAGGACTCTGTTTGTCTGGTGTTGATATATTGAGGTTCACCCCTTAAACTACTACGATAGTATAGAGAAATCCAGTCGTCTAGCTGGTGTCTGAATACTGTGATGTCATTTGTAGCGGGGTAGCCGAGCGCTCGACACCAGCTAAAAATAATCTGTTTTCTTTCTTAAATTATGACTATTACAAAATAGCCATGCTTTTCCAGCTGGTAAAAACAGCTCACCAGACACTTTCTCCCACTCTCCCATGACAGATCTGTGAAATGTTCCACTGTTTGGCGAGTGTTCGTCATGTTCTGAACATAAAGGATAGTTTAAAACACGATATCGATATCGAACGATATGAATTTTGTTTATCGTGATAACATTTTTGGCCATATCGCCCAGCTCTAGTCCCATGACGTCTCAGTGAATGCATTTACTGCTTTCTTTAATTTACATTTGTTTGCCACAACCCATGATACTGAATCTACATTTTGTTTGTTATGGCTGATTGTTATTTTGAGATCTAATGTGGAAAATTATTTGAAATGATCACAATGATTGCGAATAGGCGATAATGTAATAATTGTGACAGGCCGAGCTCCAGTGCAAAACAAAAGAACTTGAGACAGCAAACATGTCTTGGCTGATCTGCTACGGAGAAAATTGTGCATATTTGATGTTTTTGACACCTTTTACAGATTTTATTTTTGTGCTATAAAAGCCAAACCGTCCACTGTTCTATTTATTTTCCCCTTTAAGTGTGTAGGTTTATACTTCACTATCATTATCAGTAGTGTTGTCACCATATCAGCATCCGGCTATATACGTATTTGTTGACAAACTATGAGATGCATTTTAACTGCTCAGATTCAAACGAATATCATTGTCCATTTTATTGGGTGGTGGACAATTTTCAGCAATGCAGCAACACTGACATGATGGTGGTGTGTTAGTGTGTGTTGTGCTGGTACGAGTGGATCAGAGACAGCAGTGCTGCTGGAGTTTTTACACACTGTGTCCAATCATTGTCCACTCTGTCAGAGACAGAAGCTCATCTGTTGCTGAATGCTTTTGTTAGTGGTCCTCTAGTCCTTCATCAGTGGTCACAGGACACTGTTGGCTGGATACTTTTGGTTAGTGGACTATTCTCAGTCCAGCAGTGACACTGAGGTGTTTAAAAACTCTGCACTGCTGTGTCTGATCCACTCGTACCAGCGCAACACACACTAACACACCACCACCACATCAGTGTCACCACAGTGCTTATATATATATATAAATATAAAATATTTCAAAACCATATTTAAACAGCTGATTTATTGTACTGTGAAAGAGAGTTTTGTACCCTGGACTTTTATATTGAAATCTCTGAATTGTGTTTATTTTACTGCATTTGTAACGCTCTATAAAACTCACTGTCCAGTCCCTGCCTGCACCCTGTAATACCTCTATACCCAACTCTCTTAATCTAAAATACCCATCTAATCTAAATTCCGTCTGAATGACACTCTGATCGCAGCCGTGACCTTAAATCATGTTTTACATCAGTAGACGTGTAAACACGGCAACAAACAGACATTGAGGCAGCGCTCTGAACAAGTCAGCACAGGCCCCGAGTTAGACGGCATAGTGATTGCAGCAAATCCCCCGACGCTAATGGAAGAGTGTGTCCCAGCATGTATATCGGAGTGCATTAGCTTCACAGGCCTGTTGGGATGGAACACTGTGTATTAACACGAATTCCCTCCGCCCGCAGGTTCAGACGCGCAGCGCTGATGAACCAATGACCACCTTTGTGCTGTGCAACGAGTGTGGCAACCGGTGGAAGGTAAGAAAGCCTCCTAATTCGACCTGGTGCGCTTAACACCACAGCTGTAACATAAGCTGTACAAAGAAGCTGTTCTGTAGCTTCAGCTTGCTTGATAGTAAACTATGGCTTTAATAGAGTCACATATGGAGTTTGTGCTGTTGTTCCAGGATGTGACCACAAGGTGGCACTATTTGCTCAGTGTAACTGAACTGCAGTGCGCCTTCGATTAAATTAAAGAGCGTGACCGTCTGCAAACGCCCAGCAGATCAGTTTGAGTCAGTTACCTGAGCTAAAATGCACATTTTAGGCACATACAGTTGTGTGGAAAAAGTTTTGGCGCCCCACACCCTGTTCTCTACAGAGAACACACTTCTGCTCATGTTAATGCAGCAGCTGCTTATTTGCTGAATTTAACTTATTAGGGGGGGATATTAAACGTATAATGTGGCTTGTGCAAAAGTTATGGCCCATTATATATTTTATTTGACATGTTAAAGTCAGGAAATATGTCAGAAGTAAAAATAAAAATAGAAATAACACTTATTTAGGGTAGAAGATGTGTTAAGTTTTGACTTAGAAAATAAAACATGTAAAACTTGGCATGTGACTGTATAGCCATCATTTGTGTGTGTGTGTGTGTGTGTTTAGCCCGCCGTAACTCATCCCTCTCCTGTCTTTTTTTTTCTCTGTCCAGTTTTGTTAAGCAGCATCGGGATTCTTTGTGTGAAGTGACCAATTAAGAAAGTGAGAAGGTACTTTTGTTACTTTTTGTTTTCCTTTTTCAGAAGAAAATGTCATTTTTTTATACTCATTTCACAGCTTTGTAATATATTCGGTGTGCATATTGCTACTTATGCAACAAAAGGCATTCAATGTAAATAATTTCATTTTATATCTTTTCTTTCTTTCTTTTTTGTACTGGAATCGTATCCATTGCCTTTAAGCATTCTGACTTCTCAAGTCAGCATTAGCTCATTCGATACTGCTTTCGCCTATGATGAAGCACTTTGTGCCTTTTCTGCGCTTTCGGTGCCAAGATTGTCTTTGCTTACCGATATGTACAAATTTCTGCTCCACATTTAAGACTTGTGATCATGTGTGTTGTAGATATGCATATGCAGATTATGCATTTGTTTTTGATTTGTAGTGACACTTTATTTGGACGGTTCATTGTAGATGATTTGTAGAAGCTTAATTCATTTCCAGTGAACGCAGAGTTTGGTCATTTGTAACATTTGAGCTTAATCCAGTACTTAAGCTTCATTTTGGCTCTAAGCGTAGTCAGCTGAGTTGGAGTAAGAAGACAGTTAATAATCTGAATGTCTGTAGATCATCTATAGGAGACCTTCCATAAAAAGTGGGGTTATTTCTTTTTCTTTTTCTTTTCCTGTGACTGAAGCATGTGTGCTTTTTCCAGAACTTGAAGGTTTAGTACTAGAGTCTAACGTTGGGCATTCACCTCTTTTCAGAGGTTCCACACGAGCAGATGATCAGAATAGTGGATTTGATTGAATATGTGTATGATATGAACTTGTGGACCAGTCAGCCTTATTAAATTCAGAGAAAGATGTGCAGATTTGTCTCTTTTGACTGACTGCATCTACAGTCTGCGTGGGAGTTTTATAATTGTGCTGAGTCGATTTAATAAATGCTTAAGCGATTTAAACATTAACGTATTCCTTAAGTATGTCGGAACGGCAGGAACCCACCAACTCATTGAACTCGCCGTACCTTCAGACTCTTCCAAGCGCAGATCCATGTGAAACCGTTCAAACACCAAAGCAGCGGCAGCCGCAGTCATTTCCACACAGCCTGAAGGGTTTTGAGGGAGGCATTCCTGAAATGTGGGTTGGGTGCTTCCCATGTATTTATTTCGCGCGCTTCACGCTCTTGCCACTAGAGGGCGGTGGATAGGCCCAACGTTTCTGAGCTGCCAACAGTCTCTCACTACAGTTACGTAACGGAGCAGAGGGTGGGCAGCACACACACACACACACACACACACACACACACACACACAGCAAATTAAATGAACTGAAAAAGGGCATTGGCTATCAGAGTTTCCTAGAATACCCAGCAAACTTGGCAAATCGATTTGGGCCGTACACAAGATGGATTTCCAGATGAAGAGCGTTCCCTGAAAACAAGTGCGGTCAGTCTTTTTAAAGGTTATCAGATGTACTTTGGCACGATTATCCTCACGACTTGCGATAATTCGATCCGTATGATGCGTAGCCGACGCCGCGCCGAACAATCTGAATGTGAGCTATTCTCATAACACAAAAGTAAGGGATTTGGATGCGGCTTTGAGCTCTGAAGTCGGCTTTGATCCGCCGGACGCGGTCACATGAAGCCGGCGGTGTCGCTTTGGCCGCTTCCCCGTAGAGTCGCCTCGTGCTAATCATGCTAAACTTAATCAATTGGCAGAACAGAAGCGGCCCTCGCGCAGGGCACAGGTGGCGGGAAGCGCTTTGGCCGCCGCCCAACCAGTAATTCACGCGAAGCTGTCATAACATTTCTTAATTACCCCGACCAAAAATAAATCCTGTCAGGACTAGTTTGGGCCAAAGAGATTACGGGAAGAGCTCTGTGGTGTTCACGATGGTGCCACTTTGCTGCTCAGACAGAAACAAAGCCGCAACAGGCCGGGGTGAAACAGAGGAGGTGGGTTCAGACAAACAGTGAGGGTGTAACAGTACAGTTTGATTGAGTTTAATAAGTGTTGAAATTTCTCAAATCTAAAGCTGTTATTACAAATTTACAAATTACACAGATTCACTTGATTTTAGCTCAGATAAATAAAAGCCTTAAAACCGAACCGTTTCAGTGCCTGATGGCTTTGCGCTTTACTGCTACAAAAAGAGCCGTACACGCTCTAAAAAAGGTTCTTAAAGGGTTCTTTAGTAAAGACAGTGGTTATATATAGAACCATGAACACTCAAAGAACCGTTAGTATGCTTAAATGGTTCTTTGGTGAAATAGTTCTTCCGATTTATGGAGAAGGTGCTGTATATGATTCTATACAGAACCATTTTGAAAATAATGTCAAGCTTGTAACAATAAAAGAACGTTTTTTGCTCATATATATATATGTGTGTGTGTGTGTGTGTGTGTGTGTGTGTGTGTATATATATATATATATATATATATATATATATATATACACACAGCACATTCTCCATAAATCGGAAGAACTATTTCACCAAAGAACCATTTAAGCATACCAACGGTTCTTTGAGTGTTCATTGTTCTATATAGAACCACTGTCTTTACTAAAGAACCCTTGAAGAACCATCCTTTTTAAGAGTGTAGAAATAACCCCAGGTTATAATAATCCTGTATGAATCGACTTGTTGGGGAAAAATCCATATCAATATTTCGCTGCTGTCAGAAGAAAACCTTGTATCTCCATTTTTGTTTTTTAGTTTTTGACATAATTTGAAAATGCCTCTTACCCTTTACATTGTTTGTAAACTTCATGATGAATGGGCCAAAAGAAACGGCCCAAAATGACTTGGAAAAAAGTCTGGTTCCATTGACTTACATTAAAAGTTAAGTAGGTTTTTTCCTTCTCCTGAAAAGTTACCATTTTGGAGATACGAGGTTTTCTCCCGACATTGTGTGGAAAATGAGAAGTATGGCAGCGCTCAAAGTGTTTACCTGAGTTCTCTGTGGCTGAAATGTACCGTCCTATCTCAAGTGTACAACTCGGAACATGAAAGGTAGCTATGTGGATGGTTAGAGTAAATGGACAAACAATAAATTAAAAACAATAAATTCAATGTTTTCTGCTCTTCTGGCGTGAAGGCAGTGTGAATCGAGTAGCCACTCCAATTTTATACGGACGTTTCTCCTCCCATGTTAATTGGCCATAATCACATACAGACGTCCTGTGGTAAACTAATCCCATCCGAATAGTACTTAAGTGACCTGAAAAAAGCCCAGTCTTATGAGGCTGAGTGTCTTCACATTATTAGCCCTACCCAGCCTACTTTGCCCTGATTGGATGCATCCAGGTGCTTAGCTTTTGATCACTGACAGTGGCTTCTTTTCTATGAAAGACCACAAATGAAGAGGCCGAGGGGCGAATCAGCGAAACGGTTTTAAAGAGGAATTTAACCGACTTTTCAAAAAACGTCATTCTGATTGGTTTGGTGCGAAATGGTTAATTCTGGAGAAACTTGACTTTGATTTCTTTATATCGGCAGCGGCTCATAATCTACACAAATGTAGCCATTTTACTTATTATCCAAAACCACCAGCAAACATATAGTCTTATACTGCCAGGTGTGATCTCGTAATGAGAGTCTATCTCAAGCCTCAGGCAGCATTTTTGTTTCTTAACTCTCTGTGAGGGAGCTTTTCAGACGTCTGGTTCCCATCACCACCACTGTGAACAGTTCTGACTCAAGTTTCTTTGGAGTGGCACATTTTGCATCAGACCTCTCTGAATCTTACTGATATACTTATATAGAATTTTTGCAACTTCTGTGGAATTCCTCTATACATTGTTTTGTTATTTTTGAATGTTATTTTTTTGATTATATATCAAACCGTTACATAGTCTGTAGACATAAAAGCCAATTGCTTGTCAATTACAAGAAAAATTGAACTGAATATTTGAAAAAAAAGGCTTGCGCAAGTTAATACAATGACAGTGAGACTGCAAAGCAAATTACACGAAATAAGAAATCATATGAAAGCTAAATACATTACACCACCCACCCACCACACCCCCCCATCCTCCCATCCTATTCCTAGCCTAGCCTCGTTACTTAAGCAGCAACAGTTGAATGATGCATCTTGATTGTTTCACTTTGGTGTTTTGGTTCATGTTCATATATCAGCACGAATGTTTCCTGCAAATAATCACACACTGATAACCTGTGTAAACACACAGACCTGATCAGACGAAGAAAAAAAAAGCTTTTTAATCATAGGATGGTTCGGTTGAGCTTAAGATCCTATAACTAAGCTTCTTAGCTCCACATAATATTTTGTCATCAATAACACCCTAATGATCTTGGGGAAGGTGTGTGTGTGTGTTCACGCTCTGCGGTCACCTACCGCGTGAGTCGTGTGGAGCTGACTCCTGGCTGGTGTCTGTGTTTGTTTTGGCAATATGATGGTATTTCCATACATGTTCTGCGCGGCTGTGGCTCTAACAGCAGCCAGAGAAACCCCTCTGAGCTTTAACCACGCTCAGAAATCAGAGCCTCCCCGCCTCCCCCTCCCTCAGCCAGCATTCACCCGGCGAACTGATGTCAGAGCAACAGATAAATACTGCGTGATCCCTGGTTCTCGGCCCCATGTGTGCCCCACCTGAACATGACGGGGCTTGTGTGGCATTTAAAAGTGAAGACGCCAGCCTTGCACAGTTCTCTGAGGAATCCTGGGGCCTCTTTAAGGAACAGTTTGGCCAAAAAAACTCATTTACACAGTTTTCTCCTTACCTCACATGTAGTCGATCAGCCAAGGCATGTTAGCTTTCTCAGTTTTGCACTTGAGATATGAGGCTAATAACTGCATTAAAGGGCTAAACCAGGTTTAATAACAACCATTAGAGGTGCATCGACCATGAGTTTTTATGGCCAGTTCTGATTTCTTTACGGTCAAATTGGTCGATATTTATTAACCCCTCTTTTTACGCAAAGCTCACACTGTGTTGGAAACATGCTAGCACATCTCACTTGAAAACAATAGCTGTCTTCTACATTGTGTGGAAATTGATGAATGGACCAATAAAAATGCTTCAAAATGACTTTAATGTGCATTAATGTTTTTGCCTTCTCCAGTTAAGTTACCATGTCCTTTTGTTGGACTGCCGTTTGAACCTTTTCAACTCCTTGAGACCACCGGTGGTTCCAAAACACACTTCGTCATATTCTTCATAACTTTCATATTTCATGAGCTACATTCTAAAGGTGGGGGTCGTATGAGAGCTGTAACTGTCTTCTTTCCAGTCAAATAGATGGGTGATGTCATTTTAAACCCTTGTAATAAAAGAAGCTGAACTCACAAATTTTTTTGTCTACTGAAAGTCGACCCATTTTTCCACAAATCTGAGCTATAAACTATAAACAGATGGCGTCTCTTCAGTGATCTGCTCTGTAAAAATTATTTTTATAAAATAATACAAAGAGCGTCTAAGATTTTTGGCTTTCAGCAGTAAATTGTAAGCATATAGCAATATGTGTGATCATAAAACACATGTTCTGTTCATTTGAGGGGAGCTTTTAAAACAAATAACTAAATAAAATAAAAATTTACGTTTATTTCGTGCAGTTACTGAATAATTTGCCTTATGATTTGGTCATGTTAATTCAGATGGACAAACCAAAATATAGCCTGGAGAATAAGAGATTCTTATACAAAAAAATCACTCATGTAAATGACAAAATAAAGAGCTACATCGAAAGAAACAACCGGCTGTTTAGCCCACTGAACCATGTAGAATTATGCTGGCATTTTGGTATTAATAGTATTCGATTACGTCATTAAGAAGACCACGTCGCCATGTTGGTAGCCGAGCTGTAACTGTGCTCTGATGGAGCTCGACTCATCACCGTTACTG